TTTCAATCATCTGAAGAAGGCCGGAGCGTACAACAGCCGAAACGTTGTGATTGTGGCTAGGAAGATGAGGATGACAGCCCGAATAATGTAAATAATGCAAGTAAGACTGATGAACTCTCATGCAATATCTAATCTCCTAAATGGCAATGGATTCTGGATAATCTCTTCACAGATGAAGAAGAGACTTCAATCGAAAGAGATGCAGTTCTATCGAAAAATGAAAAGTTTTAAGAGATTTATTTGTTTTTTACGGTTTATCAAACTTTTGCAGGTTATTTGAAACCAGAAAATATTTTTAGGTTGTAAGAATTTTTGAGATAATAATGATATACTGATACAATTCCTACTAATTAACCCATAGCCGGGGGGAGAAGAGGCGGACTTTACATTTCCCAAGGTAATTTGCGTATAAATGAATATAACGAATTCCAAACTCTGACCAGTTATCGATTCGACTATCAACACCCGACCCCTAGCTTACAACACCTGTTATTCCCAAGCGGTCACCCATTTAGGCACTAACCTGGCTCGACGTTGCTTAACTTCGGTGATCTTACGAAAATCGGTGTTTCAACGCGATATGATCGTGAGCTTATTAAAAGATAAAATAATGTCATTAGAAACAAAGAAAATAGAGCTGAACATTCCTGTAATATCTAATCTCCTCTATGATAACGAATGCAGGTCAGTTCATTCACAGATGAAGAGGCTTGAAGCGACAGTAGTGTAGTTCTACAGACCTCTAAACTAACAATAGTGTAGACACAATATGTGAAAGACGCAGAAGTTTTAAAGAAAATAGAATTTACAAGGAAGTTTGATTTTTGAAAACAATTGCTAACATTTCTTGGCCTCATAATAAGTAAAAAGACCCCAGGGAATTTCACACTGACGGGGCATACTGAACAAAAATATAAAGTAGAGGAAACAACGAGTAACCTTCTTAATGAGTTTGTTTGAATGGATGGCAAAAGGATAGTTAAATTACTTCGAGCACCAGAGAAAATATTCCATATTCGCTCTCATCCTAAAAAAAAAACATGAAAATTATTAGAGAAAAAAAAGTTATTAGATGATTAAGCAGAGCAAGAATTTCTGACAAAGATTAAAGCCGAAGAATGCATCGATCCGAAACGTAGTCCTAAAATCAATAAAATCTGAACATTTGAATGACGTTTGTTGTTTAGCTTTCGTAGCCTAATTAACAAGACATTCTTCTGATTAAGTACAGAGTGTGGCATAAATACTGTTTCAAAAGTAAAAGCTCCTTAAAGATTTATTATATCGGCATACAATTTTAACACAAAGTAGGTATTAATCTGCTAATTAACACCAGGAAATCTCATCCAATATGGTTTCTTTTAGCCTTCACCACGCGTCGAAGTCTTTCAAGAATGTCATTGATGACGACACGTACAGTTTCCATGGGTATTTTGTCCCATACTCTCTTCAATTTTACCTTCAGAGCTTTAATAATGTGGCACCGGAGTAGGACATGACTCACTCTCAAAACACTATAGTCAGGAGCGTTGATATCTGGTGATGAGGGAGGCCATTTGTTCTTGGTAATGAAGACAGGACAATTGTCTATGCAGCACTTCTGTGTTACACGAGCTGTATGGCTCGTCGCTCTGTCTTGTTGAAGTGACAAATGTCCATCTGCATAAGTGATATTGTTCCATGGCTAAATAGTAAAATATTTTGAAAAAATATAAGTTGTTGGGCGAATATCGAAACATAAACAACAATGTAATGGCCAAAAGTTTAGAAGTAGAATTCATTTGAACTTTTGTAACAGCATTTATGCCATACCCTGTATATTTTGTAAACGTAGCAGATACGTACACTATTTACATTATTAGGACTCATCTTTGTCGCCATATTTATTACAACGTTTCGGCCATTGTACGCTCCGGCCTTCTTCAGGTGGTTGGATTGTCGAACTAAACGGTTTATTTCGCTCACTGGGGTAGACTGTTCTAGTTCCATGTGAATTGTTTAGTGGATGCCAGTTATCAGTTATCTCCTGTTAATTTCCATCTCCAAGTTCTGCACTGCCTTAACAGGAGATAACTGATAACTGACATCCATTAAACATGGTACGTGGAACTAGAACAGTTTACCCCATTGAGCGAAATAAAGGGTTCGATTCGACATTCCAACCACTTGAAGAAGGCTGGAGCGTACAACGGCTGAAAGGCTGTAATAAATATGGCGACAAAGATGAGGACAATAGCCCGAATAATGTAAATATTGTACATAATACCTCATCTCTGAAATATAAACAGATACTGAAGGGCCGAAACGTTGTGATAAATATGGCGACAAAGATGAGGATAATAGTCCGAATAATGTAAATAGTGTACATAATACCTCATCTCAGAAATATAGACAGATACTGAAAGGCCGAAACGTTGTAATAAATATGGCGACAAAGATGAGGACAATAGTCCGAGTAATGTAAATAGTGTACATAATACCTCATCTCAGAAATATAGACAGATACTGAAAGGCCGAAACGTTGTAATAAATATGGCGACAAAGATGAGGACAATAGTCCGAATAATGTAAATAGTGTACATAATACCTCATCTCAGAAATATGTAGCAGATATGTATTCAACTTCTTTGAAGGTTTTATTTATCTTTCTTGTTTTGGTGGTAGAATATGCAAACGACGTGAACGTTGGCACAAAACAAAATACAATCAAAAGAAAGATAATAAAAGTTAAACATGACAATTTACTTGGGAGAGCTGTCTTCTTTTAAAATTTAGTTCAGATAGCTGTTATGTTTATTAGTACTACAATTTAATTCGGCCAACTATTATAGCTACTGCTAGTACTACTACGAGGTGTAAAGCAACATTATAGGTAGGATGAAAATCAAATAATATGAATAAATCTAAAATTACTTCAATCGGTTCTTTTTCTTTCATTTTCCGTTTGTTTTTTTTTTGTTTTTTTCATTCCTTCTTTCCTCCTATCTCATCTTTGACTTTTCCTCTATCACCCCCACCTCTCTCTCTAACTTTCTCTACTTCCTCTTTTCTTTCCTTCACTCCCTTTCATATGTTTTACACTTCTTTAATCTTTCTCGCTATGCCCAATGTTCGTCTCTTTTTTTTACGATTTTTTTTCTTCTCTCACTCTCTCACTCATTCTTCTATCACCCTTCTCTCTCTTTGTCAATATTTTCAATCTTTTCCCCCTTGTCTCTCTGTGATTCGTGTTTCGTTTTATTTCATATCTCATGACCACCCCCTATATTCTTCTCTATATTTTTTCACGCTTTCTTTCGCCTTTCCCTCTCGCCATTGACTATTTTATCACTTCCTTCACTCACAATCTCTTCTTTCTCTTTTTCAATCTTTTTTTACTTGTCGTCTCGCTGTTCGTTCTTTCTCGTCTTCTTCCACGTCACTTATTCGTTTCACACTCTTGTATTTCTTCACGCTTTTTCCTTTTCTCTCTCTCTCTTACCAATTACTCGTCTATCAAACTAACTCTCTCTCTCTAATTCCTTCTTTAATTTTTTTTCCTTCTTTCCCTTTTATTCTTTACTCGCATTCTTTCATCATTTATGCTCTCCCTCTTTCTATACTATATATGTTCACACATTCTTTCCTTCTTCCTCTATCACCGTTTATTCTTCTATAACTTTTCACTCTCTCTTTCTTCTTCCTGCTTTTTAGTTGTATTTTTTTTATTTTTTTCTCACTTTTATTCGTTTCTCATTTTCTTTCATCATTTCTTTCATTTTTCTCTATTTTTAATCTTTCTTTCGTTTAGATTTGACCTTTCTACTACCTTCCTCTCTATCAACAATTCTTTTTCACACTTTCTTCTTGTTTATCAATTTTTTTTTCTTGTCATTTTTTTCATCTTTTCTGCCATTTTCTCCATTTTATTACTTTTTCTTTCTTTCTTTTTTTCTTTCTTTCTTTCTTTCTTTCTTTCTTTCTTTCTTTCTTTTAGATTCTACTTTTACAGCCTTTGTCTCTATCTCTAGTTCTCTCTCACGCTTTCTTTTTGTTTTTCAATTTTTCCCTTGTCTCTCTTTTATTCATTTCTCATATTCTTTCATCTTTTCTTCCATTTTTCTCTGTTTATAAATCTTTCTTTCTTTCTTTCTTTCTTTCTTTCTTTCTTTCTTTCTTTTCTTTCTTTTCTGTTAATTTTTTTCTCCTACCCTTTTCTCTATCTGTAATTCCCTCCCACACTTTCGCTCGTTTTCCCGCTCATTCACGATTTATCCTTCCTTCATCGTCTAGTCTTCAATCTCTTTCCTCTTTATCTATTTTCTTTTCAGTATAAGACTCTTCGTACCAAACAGATTCAGGACGCATTTAAAGGCATAATATATGAATATTTATTTCTGACATTAAATATTTGGTGATAGTCGCAGTGTTTTTAAGGGACTCACTTGTTTAGATAGACGTGCGGCTTTACGTTGTTATTATACAACAATGGAGAGATATCTTTAATCAATAAACTCCATCTCCGTCAGCATAAATTTGTTTTTTCCTGTCTCCATCCGATCAATACCTTATTCATTTTGCTGACAATACATTTCCATTTAATAGTATTACTTGGTTAATAGAGTATTCTTCTTTCATTCTTTATATGCAGTGTAACTTCAGCATCTATCCGGTTATAGCTCTCCACAATATCCTTCCTCATCTTTTATTTCTATAAATAATTTTTGACTGTTTACCGTACATCTTTGTTCTCATTCTTTCATCCATTCATAAAAACTTTTAGGCTGCTCGCTGTTCACCCCAGCTTCGTTTGATTTTAAATGGTTTTTTTTTTAAGCATTTCACCCCAATCAAGGCCTGAGCGCCATTTGCACGCCCGGGGTTACAGAGAGTAGAGAGAGGCGTTTGAAGAAAGGATTTAGAGAAGGACGGAGATCAAGATCAACGCATCAGAAGATGCCGATTGACATTACACTTGAATATTTTAAGATTATCAGGGAAGCAAGTAAGAGGAAGGGAGTTCAACTGTCGGGAAGTGTGAGGGAAGAAGCTGTTGGTATAGAAGAGGCGGTTAAATTTAACTGTTTTGACAGTGAAAGGGTGAGACTGAGATCCCAACCTAGTAGCACGCTTAAATTCATGCATTTGGGGTACCAGTGAAAGTAGCTCGTCTGAGCAGTTGCCATGAAAATACTTGTAAAAAAGACAGAGGGAAGCCACATTACGTCTGTGGAAAAGTGGCTGTAGTCGAGATGCCAGGTCAGGACCTATCACATTGCATATCTCTTTGGATTTTGTTGAGAACGTCGAGATGAACAGCGGGATCACCAGACCATATATGGCAACAGTATTCTATGCATGGACGAAGGGTTGATTTGTAAATTTGAAGCATGGAATCAATCGAGAAAAGCCTTCTGATCCAACTTTCCTTACGATAGATGAAGCTATTGATTCAATGTAGTTGCACCACCTCAGGTCAGTGGAAAACCTGAGACCAAGAAGCGCTGCGAGACGCTCTCGTGAAGTTGAGCATCAGCCATGTTGATAGGAGGCAGGGAGGTTTCTCTATAGTGGGCAAATAAGAGCAGTTTAGTTTTGGAGACATTAAAGTTAACAAGCCATTTCCTGTCCCAGTCAACCACAGATTGGATGTCCTTTTCGAGACCAAGGGCCAGGTTGTCAGTAATGCCGGCCTTACTATTGAGACAGGAGTAAATGTTAGTGCCGTCTGCGTAGACGTCTACTTAAGAACTGATGATATCAGCAAAATCATTGATGAAGACCAGAAACAGTGCAAGAACCAGGACAGAGCATTGGCAAACATCAGTGCTCGTATGAAAAGAACTGGAGGAGAACCCGTTTAGTACGACCTTCATTTCACGGTTTGACAGGAATGATTGGAAAAAATTAAATAATCATCCTGTAATATCGTATCTCTGAAGCTTACGAAGAAAGCCGGCATGCTAAACCCTATTGTGTTGTAGAGGCTTGTATTTCACTAAGTCGGTCCTAAAAACAGGTTCGACGTACAAAACGTTAGGAACTTGAAATAATAGTTAATGACGCAGCAATCTAGTTGTGGTGGTTGATACTTTAATGTCCGACATCGACTGACTCATCAACTCACTTAGACCCCTCGCCACTGCTACTACTTATTATATGTGGGAGAGTCTATTGACAATAGAATAGGTATGTTCCGGTATAAAACCTATCAAACGCCTTAGAGATATATAGAGCGACAGCTCGAGTATCACCGTTATTATCAAAAGCTTGGTATACAAATTCAGTTATGGCACTTCAGCGTTAGACTGAGCAAAGCAGAAACCATATTTTTCGTCAGAGAGCAGATCATGGGATATAAGATGCTTAACCACTTCAGCATTGATTAAAGCCTCGAAGACTTTGCCGAAGAGTGGTAAGAAACTGATAAGATGCTAGTTAGATGAGTCAGAGTTAGCGAAGCAGGAGTTATATAATTTGGAGAGAATTGGTGTCAGCTCAGGTGCACAATCTATAGGACTACGGCTGTTATCCCGTTCCTACCACTTGCTTTATGAGCGTCTAATTTAGAGATAATGTCCAATACCATCGACGGTGCTATGCTCATCTCAATAGACCCTCAGCTCTAGTGAGGCGGGGGCGGAAATCAGGTGTGATTACTCCGGATCCGAGGATTGTTAAATTGTCTTGGCCCTCAGTTAGGTTATCAACGCAGAAAATGAGAGAGGCGAACCGAGATGAAATTCCGACCGATTTAGTTGCGCTCACTTTCACACATTTTACCATTGGGAAAAGGTATCCATCTTTTCGTCAATAATTTAAATCTAGTTGAAATCGCAAGGCAAACAGGGTTGTCTAGCCTTTATTGTTAAACAGTCTAGGAGAAGGAAGTGGGTTGGATGTTGGGCGGGTAATACGACTCCTTATAACATGTTTGCTACTCTAACCACTACAGCAGCACCTAGCGTGGGGAGGCTGAGACTTTATTCCACACACGGAATTTACAGATTCGAGATGAGGTTTATATCACATCATCTTAAAAATACACAATATTACAGTAAAAGACATTCCCCAAATCCAGGGATTGCTTATTTCACGGGTTTAGCCGTAGTCACCACAGTTTGCTATGAATATTTTAAAGCGTTCTTAAATGTAAAAAAAAATGAAAACCTAACGATATTTTATACTTCAGTTTATAAATATATGTTGCAAAATAAAATTCTTAACATTTGCCTTGATAAAGTTCATTAGTAGACGAAATGCGACGGTAAAGAAAACTTTTTTTTGTTTTTATTCATATTGTCTTTTGTACATATATATTTTATTTATATCGTATCATCTGAGTGCAGCCTCTCTGCCTTCCATCAGCAAGGCTGATGCTGACCCCCCCCCCAGGAGAATGAAATGTTGCGCCTTCTTCGTCTAACGTTCTCATTTGACATAAAGTAGAAAGGCTATATTGGATCCATTGCTAGATCAGCTGTAAGGAAGGTTAGTTAATTGTGGCTTCCTAGACGATTTTTATCTCCAGAATCTATCTAACATATCTATATATATCATTCGTTCAAACTTACATATGGTCCGGTGCTCCTGCTATCTATCTAGAGGTATTTGTAAAAGTCCAAAGAAGAATCAGCAATACTATTGATCTTGATCTGGCATCTCGGCTTCAGTAACTTTTCCAGCGCCATAAGGTCGCTTCCCTTTTCTTTTTCTATAAATAATTTCATGGTAATAATTCGGATGAACTCTTCGCTATGGTGCCTAGATAGTCCGAATTTAAGCACAGTACTAGACTGGCAACTAAGTCTCACCAATTTAGAGTTGAATTGGCTAGATGTAAACGTACATTCTATGCTGACAGTCTGTCTTATCGCGCTTTTTGCTTGTGGAACTCCTTTCCGGCTCCATGATTTCCGGTTTCATGCTTTCCGGCCAACTTTCATCTGCAAAAATTTAAATGCAATGTCAATTGCTATTTGCTGTTCTTCTGATTATTCTTCCCCCGTTCACGCTCCTTAGCAATGTTCCCCTTTCTAACTCTTCCACGCCCAATAACCCTATACGTGTCTGTGGCTTTATTGCCTTGCCTGGGGTGAACGCGATTAAAAAAATCTGAATTTTTACATACACCAACACACACATTATTATTTTATTTAATACGAAGGGCATAGAATTTACATTATGCCATTTTGTGAGTGATGCGTCGTGTCGACTCATTATCTAATGTCAGAAGGAAACATGTAAAGAAACTGGCCAAAATTTGGCGCTATGTTCCGTTGAATTTCAACCATCGTTGGTCAGTTTCAAGGAGAGAAGATGGAAAGACGAAAAAAATCGCTAACGTAGTGTTTATAGTGTTAACAGTTCGAAATTTGAAGTGAACACGTGTTCCCGCGCTATTTGACACCAGAAGAAACTCGGGTAAAAAAGAATCAACTCTCCTATCCTTTCAATCTTATAAAACATGATTAATCTAAGGATCAATGCATGAAAAAAAACACCAGATATTCTTATGCATTCTTTAACCAAAAGAAAAATCACTTGTACGCATGCAAGGAAAATATAACAAAAAAAAAGCTTAAGCGTAGTGCCTTCCCAGTTGTCTTCAATGTCACCTGACTCTTCTACAAACATGGCAGCTATACCAATGAGGTTTTTTCTTGTTGCCTCAACTGTGTGAATTTAAGCTTATTACTAGATTGACAACTAGGTCTTCCCGTTTGACTGTTGAAACAGTAAGATGCAACCGTCTCTCCTATTCTTACAGTTTATTTTCTCGTACTTCTGTACAAATTTCTTCAGTTTTCTTGCTTCTCTGCTAACGACTATCTTCAAAGATTGAAAAGCAAAGTTAATTGCCATCTTCTGTCTTCCTGAATCCTGACCTGTTTCTTTATTGTGCCCTAATTTCTCCTAAATAAAGTCTTCTCTTTCTCATTCACTCCCTGTATCCTTGTGATATTATTAATGCCAGATGCTGTAAACTTGGGTGTGCGGGTGGTGTTATGGATAATATATCGGAAGTGGAAATCGGAGAGCCGAGTTCTAATTCCAGTCAGGTTCGTTATATTCACTTACACGCAATCCATTGGGAAAGTTATGAATCTATCTATTTCTCCCCATCTATGGATTAATTAAGCAGGACATGTATCAGTAAATCATTATTATCTCCAAAAAATTCTTATAATCTAAAAATATTTTCTGGCTTCAAATAACCTGTAAAAAGTTGATAAGCCGTAAAAACAAATCAATCAATCAAACTCTATACTCCATTTATCTATTTACATCGCTGTGCCCCGTACAAGAGAACATATCGTATTCATTCCTTTAGTTTTGCTTTAGTAAGAAGAGCATTTCACTCGGACTGCTTCTTCCTGAGAACTGCTATTCTGTTGAGCAGACTCCCGACAGGATGTTTTCCAGATAACTACAATCTTAATTTCTTCAATTTAAGTGTTAACCGTTATCTCTCCTTTATAACTTCATAAACAGTAAATGTTATCACCTTTTCTTACACTTATAGCCCAACCTCATTCACTAAATCTTTACTTTGTACTGATCGAATATTAGTTGAGAGAAAAAGAATAGGATACTTGGCTCTCTGCAAGAGAATCCAATTTGATTGCTAAGTTCTTACCACTTATAACGGACGGAAGCTGGGACAGGCATCAGAGGTTGTTGATGGTGAGCAAGAAACACACCTGTAGGTGACCGTCCTTTAATTAATAGAAATCATTCATTAAAATACGAGAAATAACGATTAGGACGACATAAATACAATCACTAGCACTTTGCTTATAATCCAACAGGCACAAATATATGTGCTGTGGGTAAAATACGTTTTCGTTTTATTAAAATAAAAAAAAAGTACGCTTTTTATTATTCAGTAGTCAGTATTTATTAGAGCATAATATCTTACGCCCATATCAGGTTGAAAGACCGGTTCCGGTACGATCACCGAAGTTAAGCAACGTCGGGCATGGTCAGTACATGTATGGGTAACACTTTAGGAATTTCAACTGCTTTGATGGGCGGGGGATATAATGGATAACGGATCGTAATTGGAAATCGGAGAGCCGAGTTCGAATTTCAGTAGAATTCGTTACGTTCACTTACGCGTAAATAACATTGGGAAAGGTATGAATCTATCTCTTCTCCCAGCTATGGATTAAATAGCGGGAAAAGACTGGATCCTATAGCCTTGGTTTGAAACCAGTCTACCGCAGAATGTATCGACAGCCTCTTGCAGGAATTCAGACTGGGTCATATAGCCTTGATTGGCAACCAGTCTACTGCAGCTTACTGTTGGAATTCTTCTGCCTGGTCAATTATGAATCCAAAAGAGCGACATGATTACCCGAACGTGAATCACGCATGGCACTTAAGGAAGTGCATAAAAATTTATTTCGTTTGAGCTCTCTGGGGAGGAAGTGTGGGTTTGTAAACAGTGACTATTACGGCTTATAATGCAAAACTCTTCGGTAAATCGAATCGAGTTCTGTCAGTCACTGTGTTTATCTAAAAATAAGTACGCTTAAATTCAACCTCACCCCTGCCGTGCGCCAACGGCTTAGGGGTAGAATCCCCAACTGACGCCAATCCAGTCGGGCTTCGATCCTAGCTAGTGGCAACCGGACGTCTAACCACATTCATAAACTGTGATACAGCGAACCAGTCTGTCTGTGGGTGATAATATATATATATATATATAAATGTTAGAATATTCCTATTGGATTTTTAATATTTATATATATATATTAAAAATCCAATAGGAATGTTAGAACCATCATTTTGGACACATGCAATGATAGTCCTCTTTTTGTTTTCAGTTTTTATAATAACGTTACAGTCGTCATATCTTCAGACTATATTGAAAATATCTCGACTGGCTTTTGTTACACTACTTATATTATTCAGACTATTGTCCTCATCTTTGTTGCCATATTTCTCACAACGTTTCGGCCGTTGTACGCTCCGGCCTTCTTCAGGTGGTTGGAATGTCGAACTGAACCCTTTATTTCGCTTACCGGGGTAAACTGTTCTAGTTCCACGTGCCATGTCTAATGGATGTCAGTTATCAATTCCTCTCCAAGTTCTCCACTGCTTTAACCAGGTATTGAACTCACGCCTTTTGGGTCCTGTCACTGGATCTAACTAACACCTTTATCCACTGTGCCATTTTTCCTTGTTAATATTTGTTTTCTTTTTCTTTTACCTTTTTCCCCCACCCTTTCTTCTTTTCATATTTTGTCAACCGAATCTCCATGCAATCCATAGGTGACCGCTGCATTCAGTAATTTCAAAAGGAATGTGGAATAAATTAAAAAGAATTACTAGAAATAGTGATCTTAATCTGTTGGTCAGGTAGTGCAGAAATACAACATCTCTCTTGAAAACAATGAAATATGCCTGATTTGTACGCTTAACAGGCGCAAATGAGCGCGAAAGAACATGTCCGGTGTAAACAGAACAAGGAACGGGCGCTTTATTTAGTCACAATCTTAAAACGTTCAGAGACGGTTAACTCGAATGACAGCTTAAGTCAGAATCAACAGTTGAAACGGTGAAGTTGGGCGAATCACTCCGAATTAACATAACTTTGATCCATTTCCTCAAATGAGTTGCTTTCAAAAGATAAAACGAAACCAGTTTCGTCCAGGGCGGGCGAGTTGCGTCGGAAGTAAAAACGGAATAAAATAATAAAAAAATGAAAAACAAAAAATAGAAAAAACATACGTAGGCGCAGGTGTATACCTATATAAGTTTAAATCTCTTACATAGCATGTCGAAAACATCACAAATAATAAAAACAAAAAAAAAGCATTATTTAAAGTAAAACATGGCGTCGAAGACTTTTTTTTTTTTTTTAAAGCGAAGTACGTTTGTTGGATGTGCTTTTTGAAGTCTTTATTTAATTTTCCTACACGGAGCGGAAAGACACAAAGAAATATATAAATATGTGTCTATATCTGTGAGAGAGATTATTATGATTATTAGCATTATTTACATTATTCGGATTGTTATCCTCATCTTCATTGCCATATTCACAAAGTTTCGGCCGTTTTACGCTCCGGCCTTCTTCATAAAGGCGTTGGTTAAATTCAGTTACTAGACCGAAAGAGTTGTGTGTTCAATACCAGGCTTCAGCATTGGTGAACCAAAAAACTTGCAGAGTTAAACGGCTACATCCGTTTATGGTTCTCCACAACTTCCGGTTTTTGTAAGATTAACTATTTTAATAATAGTATGCATTCTTCTTTAGCTTGACTTTTACTGAATTTTCCGTAAACTATATGAAAGTCTTGGCATATAGACTATTTAAGAACATGGGTCTAGTTAATGTTTTAGTTTAGTAGCAACTTGAGGTGTTGGGCGAAACTATCTCAAGTGCATCCTATTCTATGTTCAATTTCCTTATCTCATATATTAAAATAAAATAATAAAAATGAAAAAAAAAAACGTAAGCGCAGGTGTATGCCTATATAAGTTTAAATCTCTTGCATTGTATGTTGAAAATATTTTTTATTTTTAAGAGCGAAGTACGTTTGTTAGATGTGCTTTTTGAAGTGTTTATTTAATTTTCCTACACGCAGCAGAAAGACACAAAGAAATATATCAATATATGTCTATATCTCTGCGATGAGGTTTTATGATTATCAACAGTATTTACATTATTCGGATTGTTATCCTCATCTTCATTTCTATATTCACAACGTTTCGGTCGTTGTACGCTGCTGCCTTCTTCAGGTAATTGGACGAAATAAAGTTCGAAATTCTAATCACCTGAAAAAAGGCCTGAGCATAGAACGGGTTGTGAATATGGCAATGAAGATGAGGATAACATTCCAAATAATGTAAATATATGAAGCATTTCACTTTTTTGTAAACCGCTGATTAGCTAATACGCATATATATATATATATATATATATATATATATATATATATATATATATATATATATATATATATGAAAATTTCTCAGAGTTAATTTGTAGAAAAGACAATATTTATAAATATAAATGACAATAGGAAAACTGTAATAGTTGCCGACGTGTTACCTAGTCAACATTGGACGAAACGCGTCGGCAACAAATTACAGTTTTCCTATTGTTATATATATATATATATATATATATATATATATATATATATATATATATATATATATATATAAGATAATCCTAAGGAGCCAGGCAAACCACTACTACAAGTTGAGCTATCGAGGTTTTTCCAAACGTGTACCACCATTTATATATATATATATATATATATATATATATATATATATATATATATATATATATATATATATATTTATATTTTGAAAAATAATATCGTATTTCTGGAGAGAGAATGAAAAAATCTGTTTCAGTATAGCAAAAGTTATATTTATTTGTCAAAAATATAGTTATCATTATTAGCAATAACAAAAGACGATGATAAAATGAATACTTTTATTTCTTATTGAAAGAGGCGGGTATTCAAAGCGAAAGAATTCTAATAATGACGAATTGATGCCTTCTCTTACTTTTTGCCACAAAGAAAGTGTTCCAGTGATCTGATTAAATGGATCTCTTAAGCTGCTAAATCGATTCATTTAAAAGGATGCAGTAAATTATTCCAACCTAACAATTTGATCTTTTAAATTTATTTTATTGAGTGTGAACGTTTCTTGTTAGTCTAAAAAATGCCACTTTTTCTATTGGCAGTAATGTCGCAGATTTGAAAACAGAATAAAATATTGGCAGTAATGTCGCAGATTTGAAAACAGAAAAAAAAGCGTTTTAAAATAACAAAAGTTAAATTTATTTATCAATAGCATAATCATTATTGGCAATCACAAAATCCCAAGATAAAACCAATTCTTTTATTCTCTGTTGAAAGAATCTGGGATTCTGGACGAAAGAATTGTCCTTATTTTAAAAGAATGCTCGATAAGATAGTATTCTAATGGTTTTATAAGATACGAAACAGGCTATTTGTGTTTCTTAAGGAAAATACTGTAAAATATCCGAATCCAACAATTTGAACACTTGTGATTATTTCACGATCCTCTATTCTTGCAATGTCATAATATTTCTTGCCCAAAATGTACAACCATGACACGAAATAATGGCAAACAGAGAAGAGGTGATCATTACTGTCCTATCGCTTGCTTATAGACACAATCAGCCCCCCCCCATTGGCTCGAATATTGTCCCCTTTAACAAAACACCTCAGTTACGGGAGACAGTCTTAAAGCAAGTACCATAATTCCGGATTTCCTTTTTATATTCCTAATTAATCCCATATGTAAAATTTTAAGTGACGAAAGAATGAAAAAAATCACAACATTTAAAAAAATGATACCCCAAATTTATATTCAATTCATTGCGTGCAGTGTAATGGAAAGCGACTCGGTGGGGGGGGGGGATTGAAAACCCGATTTCAATATATAGGCATAGGTATATCTATCTATCTATCTATCTATCTATCTATCTATCTATCTATCTATACATACATATATGTACACACACATATATATATGTACATATATAGGTATATATGTATATGTGTATACACACACACATATATATATATATATAATTTATTTTTTAAATGTTATTTCTAATGGATACTCATATTTGAGTAGATGGTGCGTCTTTATTATTAAACAATACATTTAGTTATTTACATGTAGTGGCCTGAATATTCGAGAAAACGTGTTAGAAAAATACGCACACGCACAAGGATACACACACACAATATATATATATATATATATATATATATATATATATATATATATATATATATATATATATTCATATGATGATGGAAAGTAAAAAAAATTCCGTCAGATGATTAGATATAATTATATCTTTAAAAAAGACAATATTAATAAAAAGAAAAGGAAAAGTTTTCTTTTTCGGCGCGTTTTGTCCTTTCAGGGACTTTATCAAGGCAAATGTAGAATTTATTTTTCTTGCACGTGTTTATATACAAAAGCGAGGATGTCATTGGTTTATGAAGGCTT